GGAGTTCCTTTTTGGAGGGACAAAATATTCTAAAATTAGATTGTAATTATGGTTATGCCTGCCTGTGTGCTAAATTGCTAGAGTTGTGTCCGACTCTTTGTGACTCTATGGATTATAGCCCATCAGGCTCCTCTGTCTATGGAGTTCTCCAGACAAGAATCCTGGAGTAGGCTGCCATGCCCTCCTCCAGGGGATCTTCTTTACCCAGGGATTGAACCCGCATCTCCTGTGTCTCCTGCACTGGCAGGCGGGTTCTTTACCACTAGCGCCACCTGGGAAGTCCAGTTATGGTTATACGACCCTGTTAGCATACCCCAAATCATTGAGCCACCAGGGCAGGGCTTCCCTGGTGGCTTGGATGGTAAAGAATCTGCCTGCAATGCAGGAGACCCCAGTTCGATCCATGGGTCAGGACGATCCCCTGGAGAAGGGAATGACGACCCACTCTAGTATTCTTGCCTGGAGAATTCCATGGACAGAGACACCTCAAGGGCTAAAGTCCATGGAGTTGCAAAGAGTCGAACACAACTGAGTGACTAATACTTTCATTGAGTTATTTACTTTAAATGGATGAATTGTGCAGTATGTAAATTATGTTTCCATAAAGCTGTTTAAAAAAGAAAAAGATGTCTTAATACTCAGCTCCAAGCGCCCTTTTTAATACTCCTTTCTCTGAAACTGCAGCGACATGGTTGACAGCACTTCACTTACTGTCTCTTTTTAATAATGGGATAATACAACCAAATTACAAAAATTGCAGAAACTAGAGCGGTGGCAAAATTGGTGTTGAATTTCTCATGGGCATATTATCATAGAAAACTGAACTGGCAATAATTTACTTTTAAGATTAAGTTAAACACGTCAAAATTTACTAAACATTTCTCTATTTTTAGCTGTTTAAAAATCTTACTACTTCTTTGAAGAGCCTCTTTGTTAGGTGTATGTACTTTTTTGCCCAATACTTATTCTGATTATAAATAAGTAATAGTCAATATGAATTTGATAAATATGAGAAAAATAAAAACCATTTGGGGGTAATGGTTTTATTGCGTATGTTAGTTGCTTAGTCGTGTCTGACACTTGTGACCCCATGGACTATAGCTTGCTAGCTCCTCTATCCATGGGATTTTCCAGGCAAAAATACTGGAGTGGGTTGCCATTTCCTTCTCCAGGGGATCTTCCCGACCCAGGGATCAAATCCAGGTCTCCTGCATTACAGGCAGATTCTTTACCCTCCGAGCCACCAGTACTGCACCCTATCAAGCATATGATGTCTTCCAGTTATACTTCTGCAAAATCCCTCATCTGTTATTTTCAGAAACTCATTTCCTAAGTGGGGCTAGAAAATATATAAAATTTCTGCAAGATACACTATTTCACATAACTTTCAAAATTATCAGCTTCCCTCATAGCTCAGTTGGTAAAGAATTGGCCTGCAATGCAGGAGACCCGGTTTAATTCCTGGGTCAGGAAGATTCCCTGGAGAAGGGATAGGCTACCCACTCTAGTATTCTTGGGCTTCCCTGTGGCTCAGCTGGTAAAGAATCTGCCCGCAATGCGGGAGACCTGGGTTCGATCCCTGGGTTGGGAAGATCCCCTGGAGAAGGGAAAGGCTACCCACTCTAGTATTCTAGCCCGGAGAATTATATATCCATGGGGTTGCAAAGAGTCAGACATCACTTTCACTTTTCAAAATTATCATATTTAATCTGTGCACATAGCTTTAAAGAAAAGATACTGTTAAAACAACCTCTTAGAGAGTTTGCTACTGCTACTGCTAAGTCACTTCAGTCGTGTCCGACTCTGTGCGACTCCATCCCTGGGATTCTCCAGGCAAGAACACTGGAGTGGGTTGCCATTTCCTTCTCCAATGCATAAAAGTGAAAAGTGAAAGTGAAGTTGCTCAGTCATATCCGACTCTTCAAAACCCCATGGACTGCAGCCTACCAGGCTCCTCCGTCCATGGGATTTTCCAGGCAAGAGTACTGGAGTGGGGTGTCACTGCCTTCTCCCTTCGAGAGTTTACTGGTGGCCTAATGGTTAGAATTCTGGGCTTTCACTGCCATGGCCTGGGGTTTAGTCCCTGCTCAGGGAACTGAGATCCTGCAAGCCACATGGCATAGCCATAAAAAACAAACCAAAAAACCCCAACATACCAAAACAAAAAAAACCAACCTATTAGGCAAATTGGTTACAAACACATTTCAAAGTTTTACTTCAAACTCATCTCTAGGCAGGGTAATTTAAAGGTCCCTCTTCTTGCAGACGATTTGGAGGGAAAAAAGTCCTCTGGATCATTGTTATTAGTCTGGATACAAAGAGTCTCTGAAATCATTAGCTATCTTTAAAGTCTGGTGAAAGATTATCATCCTCTGCCAAGGCTGATAGCCTTGTAGATTAATTTCTAGACTTTATGCCCATTAAAGTCAGTCAGTAGGTAAGTAAGTAAGTGTCAGTCGCTCAGTTGTGTCCGACTCTTTGTGACCCCATGGACTGCAGCCCACCAGGCTCCTCTGTCCATGAGATTTTCCAGGCAAGGATACTGGAATGGGTTGCCATTTCTTTCTCCAGGAGATCTTCCCAACCCACGGATCGAACCCCGGTCTCCTGCACTGCAGGCAGATTTCTTTACTGACTGAGCTACAAGGGAAGCCCTCAACTGATAAACAAATACATAATTCAATGAATAAGTGAAAGACATAGTCTGGGTGGGGGGAAATGTGATGATAAACAGTATAAAGGCTTTAAAAAAATATATTTTCAAAGCTATTATCTCATTTAATCCTGACATCACCCTTGGAAGTTGTAATAATTATCGTGTTGCCTTCCTCTGCACTCACTATTTATAATGTGTATGGGGAAAGGGGAGAGATGGATGGCACTTAGGCTAAGGTTATCAAAAAGGAGTGGTTATTGTGATACACAGCTCATTCATTTACAGACATTTCCTGTGTTCCTCATATGTGCCAGGCTCTCTGGCACACATATAGTTAAACTTACAGAATCTGGAGACTGAATTCTAGCTCAATCATTTACTATTAGTTCTGGATTTGGGGGTAAGCTACTTCACATTTCCTAGTTTCAGTTTCCTCATTGTAAAATAAGAATAACAATAGTTCTTAACGCTTAGAGTTGCAAAAATTAAAACGTAAAAATAAAGAAAAGTTAATAAGTGCTGAAAACATTGGCAATTATCATTAACTAGAAATACATATAATACTCATCTGTGTTCTTTCCAGGTGTTTGGTAAGAGAGACAGGTAAACAGATATTTCTAAAACAATGCAGCAAATATAATATGGGTATGAATATGAATAAGGGAAAGATTGAAGGCAGGAGGAGAAGGGGACAGCAGATGAGATGGTTGGATGGCATCACCAACTGAATGGACACGAGTCTGAACAAGCTCCGGGAGTTGGTGATGGACAGGGAAGCCTGGCGTGCTGCAGTCCCTTGGGTCACAAATAGTCGGACAAGACTGAGGGACTGAACTGAACTGATGAATAAGATGATACTTCAGAAGATAATAATTACACCTGGAGAGAATGGGCTTCTTTTAAGACTGGGCACTGAAGAATGACCAATAGTTTGCTACACATAGGGCAGGGAAGGACCATTCCAGAGCAGAGGAACAAGTCTGTGTTAGGTATTGAAAGGTAAGGGGACATTTATTACTGCAGCTGGGAGAGCTGGTGTGAAAGGAGGGAACGCTGCACCAAGTAGGAGATGTAGCCAGCAGTCTGATAGCTCAAACTCTCTACTTCTGAAACTATTTGAATTTTAACACGTAGGCCAGTGGTTTCTAAACCGAGCTGATTGTCAGGAATTTCCAAGGAGCTTTCTTAAAAGATCCCAATAAAAAAAAAAAAAAAGATCCCAATAACCCACCTTCAGAAATTTCAATCCATTAGGTGGGGGTGGGGCCCAGGAACACCTTCGAAAAGCCCCCGAGGGTAATTCTGCAGCTTTGAAACAGGGTTTGGGGCAGTTTTCACGGGGGAAGGGTGATCAAACAGGAGAGTGCAATACCTTTTGTTAGGCAGGTAACTGTGCAGGATGTATCCTGACCTCCTTCCTTCAAGTCTTTGCTTAATATTAAAAAAAAAAAAAAATCCAACCCTCCCCACCCTATCCTTTATACCTAAACACTTAACTTCTAACAGCTTACTTACTATTAAGTTTGCTGCTGTTTTCATTGCTAAGTCGTGTGCAACTCTTTTACGACCCCATGGATTCTCTGTCACTGGATTTCCCAAGCAAGAATACCGGAGTGGGTTGCCATTTCCTTCTCCGAGGGATCTTCCCCACCCACGGATCGAACCAACGTCTCCTACATCACCAGGCGGATTCTTTTACCACTGGGCCGCCAGGGAAGTCCTACTACGTGTTTACTTAGTGTATTATCTGAATCCATTCATTAGAATGTAAACTCAACAAAGACTGTGATTTTTCTCTTATCTTTACTAATCCTCAGATCCTGTGTCTGGAGCATAGCAAGTTTTCTGTTTTTGAATGAATGAATCAATCAAGGAGTGAAGTCTTGGCTAGGATGGAGTTTGCGTAAAAAAGAAAACGGAGGCAGCTGGAGGGAGAGGGGCGTAGGTTAAAAAAAAATACTGTGATAGGAAGGCTAGTTTTTCCTTGCTTTCAAGTTTCTTTTTGATTTCACTCTCTTGCTTACGGGTACATAATAAAACTCAAAACCAACCGGAAACTCCCAGCTAACCTCTTAATCTAGCTATCCCTCCACCTGGTGCCCACGCCTGTACAGCCCAGAAAACCCGGAGAGCTAACTCTTTCAAGGATGGGCGTCTGCCAGGATCGGCGCGCGACCTAGGCTCACGCATGCGCATTAGACAGAGTCACCAGCGTGCGCGGGAAGCTGGGCCGCGTCCTATTATGATTGGCTGTCGGGGCGCACTCCCACCCACCGAGTCGCAGTGCTGGATGATGATTGGGTGTCTCCGGAGAGGCCGGACGCGCTTGGGGGGCGAGGGAGGGGAGGCGGGAAACATCTTGGTGGGTGCGGGGTCGTGCAGTTCTCTCGGGCGGCTGGCGGAGAGGTTTCGAAATGGCGGTGCAGCCGAAGGACACGCTGCAGCTGGAGAGCGCGGCCGAGGTCGGCTTTGTGCGCTTCTTCCAAGGCATGCCGGAGAAGCCGACCACCACCGTGCGCCTTTTTGACCGGGGTGACTTCTACACCGCGCACCGGGAGGACGCGCTGCTGGCCGCCCGCGAAGTGTTCAAGACCCAGGGGGTGGTCAAGTACATGGGGCCGGCAGGTGAGGGCGGGGACGGCGCGGGCTCGGGGCTGGGGGTACCCCGCAGAGTGGCTTCTCTCAGGAAGTGGTAGGGTCAGGCCGGGAGGCCCGGGGGCGGGGACGCTGGTGTCTCGCGGGGGCGCTGATCTGTGACTCCGCTCGGCTTTCAGCGCCCTCGGTAACTCATCCCCATTTCTCTAGCATTATCTCTCCCTGGAAAACTACTACAAACTTCTCACCCTCTTGTGAGTTAGATGTTCTAAACATCTTGTTTTATTTTAATCTTTTATCCCTGGCTCTTTTGTGAATGAACATTCTAGGAGGAGTAAGGAGTTGCAGGTTTTAGACCTGCCTTTGCCATGTGCAGATGGGATGTTACTGACGACAGATGTTTAATGCAGCAGATAGACATTTATTGGATGCTACCTTGTCAGGAAGGGTTCTGGACACTGGGAGTACACAAATCAAAAGGCAGTATCCCCACCTTCACAGAGCTCCCTCTAGTGGATGTGTGTGGGCATAGCCTCTGGATGTGCTAGGCTTTGTCGCTCAGTCGTGTTGGGGACTCTTTGCGACCCAGTGAACTGAAGCCTGCCATCTCCTCTGTCCATGGGGTTTGTCCAGGCAGGAACACTGGAGTGGGTTGCCATGCCCTCCCAGGGGATCTTCCCAATCCAGGGTTCGAACCCAGGTCTCCCTCATTGCAGGCGGATTCCTCTGAGCTACCAGGGAAGCTCCCCTCTAGAGGAGAGCAAGGCAGAAATCTAATTCCAGTTGAAGACCTGTGGAGGATGCTGCAGAACAAGTTGCAGAAGAGGCGGAGACAGGACTGCCAAAGACTGTAGCCGGCAGAAGAGGCATTACAAGAGAGGCTAAATTTCGCTTGAGTCTTGAGAAACTCTGTACCCCTCAGCAGGAACTTTCCCTTTCTCCTCAGTCCTCCCAAACACAGGCAACCACAAATCTGCTCTCTCTCTCTCTGGAAATATTGGTGTTGAGTGACTCTTTCACTTAACATTTTCAAATTTCATCTGTGTTATCAGTCCTTCATTACGTTTTATTGCCAAATATTCCAGTTGTATGGATGTACCATACTTCATTTAATCCATTTGTTAGTTGATCCGTATTTGGATTATTTTCTGAACCTATACTTTTTATGCCATCTGGATCCATTCTCTCCTTCCCTATTGTGCCAGTGAAGAGATGAACATTTTGCTGTGGTCTGGATCCCATCTCTTCTCACAGATGGCTTTCTGTTGATCATTTCTTCTCTTTGTCTGGTTTATTCTATTGGCATTTAGTCTTCATATCCTTTTGGCTGCTTTTCTCTGACTCTAAAACCACTAGTGACACATTATTATAATAAAGCCCTGCTAGGTGGGTTAGTACCTAGCTTCAATTTATTGATGAGAAATCTGAGTCCTTAGAAAATGGAGTTCCTTATCCTTTGTCTCTTTTGCTGTCAGGACTCGGCTTAGAAGGCGTCTCCGCTTGGAAACCTTTCTTGACTCCCATCTTAAGGCTGCCTGGTTAGCTGCCCCTCTTAGGTGTTTCCTGCCCTGGGACCTTCTCCTTACCAGTCTCTGCCTCTGAATCCCAGCCCCTGGTACAGTGCCCACATGTGAGTGAAAGTCCCTCAGTCATGTCTGACTCTTTGCGACCCCATGGACCATACAGTCCATGGAATTCTCCAAGCCAGAATACTGGAATGGGTAGCCTTTCCCTTCTCCAGGGGATCTTCCCAACCCAGGGATTGAACCCAGGTCTCCCGCCTTGCAGGCGGTAGCAGACACATCATCAGCTGAATGAAGATGGGGGTTCCAAGTTATTCTTGAGGTGGAGAATCTTATACCAACCTGACGTTTTTTCTTCTGTGCCAGATGGAGGACTTCTCCAGGGGATCTTCCCAACCCAGGGATTGAACCCAGGTCTCCTGCCTTGCAGGCGGTAGCAGACACATCATCAGCTGAATGAAGATGGGGGTTCCAAGTTATTCTTGAGGTGGAGAATCTTATACCAACCTGACGTTTTTTCTTCTGTGCCAGATGGAGGTTGGGTAGCTTTCTCTTCCAGCTTCCCTTCAGTTTTTCTTCCTGGCTTTCAGACTTAAAGCATATAGCCAAACTCTTCGCCAGAAGCATAGAGTAACTATACATCTGGTGCTTATCTGTAAACAAGACAAAATGCATTGCCACATCAGCGTGTCACTTGTTTGAGAGACATAGTATCTTTGGAGGATAACAGTATCTTTGGAGATGGTTTGCCAACCTATCTGGAGATTAGTAATGGAGGAAGTGTGAGAGGCCTTGGGGGGAGGGGAATCACCTCATTTGCCTCTTCACCCACCACTTTTAAGAAATCTGCACTGGGGACTTTCCTGATGGTCCGGTGGTTAGAACTCTGTGCTTCCACTGCAGAGGACACAGGTTTGATCCCTGGTCAGGGAGCTAAGATCCCTCATGCTGCTTGGTACAGCCAAAATAAGAGTGCTGTTGTGAATGTGTTTTCCTGTTGTGTGTCTGTAGAAAGACAGGATTGCTCTGGATCCCTCCGCCCTTAGCCAGGCAGATACCTTTGATGTGCAAATAGATGTAAATAATAGTGTTGGAGCTTGTGGATCTGAGAGTGCTTGTTCAAGTGTGCTAAGCATTCAGATTCCAAATCAGAGCTGGCTAGGCAAGTATGCTGGTACATCCTGCTAGGCTGATTTAAGAATTATTTCTGAATTATGTGCCAGACCAGTGTTTTTTTCCTCTCTCCCCAGAATTGTTTTTGCTGAGTTGGACTTTATGTTTTGCCTTCTAAATTAAAGGATGATATAACAGTGTTTTGAAGCTCATTGCTCTATTTATTGGAAGTTGTTGACCGATAATTGCAGTGGCATTTATAAACATCTCTGGGAGAAATTCCTCTCTAATTTTGTATTGACCGTGATTTAGTGCTTTCCACAAGCAAAATTTTTTTATGATAATATTTCATCATATGAATAATATTCAGTGTAGTGTTAGTTGCTCAGTCATGTCCCACTCTTTGCCACCCCATGGACTGTAACCCACCAGGCTCCTCTGTCCATGGAATTCTTCAGGCAGGAATACTGGAGTGGTTACCCATTCCCTTCTCCAGGGGAATCTTCCTGACCCAGGCATCAAACCCAGGTCTCCCGCTTTGCAGGCAGATTCTTTCCCGTCTGAGCCACCAGGGAAGCCCATAAATAATGTTTCTCATGTATTCAACTGGATGAGCTAATAGGTTGTCCAATAGTTCTGGTTTGCGTGGGGACTAAGAGGGCTCCTGGGGTGCTGGACTTTCAGTGCTAAAAGTTGGAGAGTCTTAGGCAAAGTGGGATTAGGTAGTTACCCTATGTGCTAGGCAAAAACGAAATAGTTTAAATGGGGCCTACCATTCCACTGAGGTTCTGGTCCTGAGTGAGTCTTAATTGGGAGAAGTGAGACTGTTGCAGCCTGGATAGACCTTAGATCTCTTATATGCCTCTTGAGAATGTGAGTACAGGCTTTGCTGAAGGAGTAACATTCAGAGTGAACATAATTTTCATGCAGCTTGCTTTCTAAATGCAAGTTAAAGAAAGGTAGTCTATTCAAGTCTGTAAAAATGTGGCTGTTTTACTTGCTGAGTTGAAAACTGGAAACAAGAGGGCTCCTGGGGTGCTGGACTTTCAGTGCTAAAAGTTGGAGAGTCTTAGGCAAAGTGGGATTAGGTAGTTACCCTATGTGCTAGGCAAAAACAGGAAATAGTTTAAATGGGGCCTACCATTCCACTGAGGTTCTGGTCCTGAGTGAGTCTTAATTGGGAGAAGTGGGACTGTTGCAGCCTGGATAGACCTTAGATCTCTTACATGTCTCTTGAGAATGTGAGTACAGGCTTTGCTGAAGGAGTAACATTCAGAGTGAACATAATTTTCATGCAGCTTGCTTTCTAAATGCAAGGTAAAGAAAGGTAGTCTATTCAAGTCTGTAAAAATGTGGCTGTTTTACTTGCTGAGTTGAAAACTGGAAACCTAAATAATGTTTTCTTAAAAGTTTGAATTAATTGTACTTTAAAGATTGGGTGGTTTCATGAAAACATTCAGATTTTGAGCTGCTTTTGAAAATTCTGCATAGTTGGAAACTGGGCAGATTAGCAGTGGCTTGAGTCCAGTGGTTGCTCCCTCTGACCTAGTGAGTCTAGCTTTTTCTTTTACCTTGTACTTTCCTCATTTTGTCACAGTTCCCACATTTGAAGTCGTTTGTCATCTGTCAGTTGTGTTCTTCCTTTGACTTTCTCTGTTCATTTGATACCTGCCTGGTCCCTGTACCTGGTCCTGGATTAGATCATGAGAAATGTTCTAGGGAATAACTTGAGAGAGGCAAGATTTGAGCCCGTTTTCAGGGTGTCTGTGACAGCGGGGGTGCTTGTCCACTGCTTATGTAACTAGTGAAATGATATTGAAAGTATCAGCTGTGTCTTGCTGTACAAAATAATTGTATTATTCATTTAATTAATTTGTATTTGTATTTAATATTTGTGCTTGATACAATCTATTGTTAAATTTAGGTTAAGTCCTCATAAGATCCAGACTTGTCAGAATAATCTGCACGTGTATTCTGTAGTTTTATTTTTGAAATTTACTTGACTGCACTGGATTTTAATGGTGATTTTTATTGCAGCATGTGGGATTTTTTTAGTTGCAGCATGTGGGATCTAATTACCTGACCAGGGAATTAACTTGGGCCCCCTGCATTGGGAACGTGGAGTCTTAGCCACTGGACCACCAGGGAAGTCCCTACAAGTATATTCTGAATTACATTTAAGTGAATAATTGATATTATCTGTATTATTTGAAAATTGAGTTATAATTCCATTTGATGGTGTGGGTGATTTTATTTATTTTGTAAAGAAATTGTTATTTATGAATCAAAACTGAGACCCTGTAGTCCAATTAAGACTATACATTTAAGACTATTAGGTAATATGTGGCTCAGCTGGTAAAGAAGCCGCCTGCAATGCAGGAGACCTGGGTTCGATCCCCGGGTTGGGAAGATCCCCTGGAGAAGGGAACAGCTACCCACTCCAGTATTCTGGCCTGGAGAATTCCATGGGCATGCAGCCCATGGGGTCCCAAAGAGTCGGACACAACTGAGTGGCTTTCATTTTCACTTCACTTTGGCACTATTGATATTTTTGACCAAAGAGTTAATCTGTTGCTGTGAGGGGCTAGGCTGTGCATGGTTAACAGCATCCCCTCCTCTACCTACTAGATTCCATTATTACTCCCTTGTCCCAGTTGTGACAACTTAGATGCCCCCAGACAGTGATAGTGTCCACTAGGGGAGCAAGATCTTCCCCAGTTGAGAACCGGTGATATGAGATGAAGACCAGTAAGTTTTAGAACTCTGTTGACTGGATAGTGAAAATAAATGACATTAATACTTTACAGATGGTGGTGTTAATTGGTACAGCCAACCAAGGGGGATAGTCTGGCAGTATTTATAAAAATCACACATATCATCCTTTGAAAAAGTCCAGTTTTAGAACTTTATCTCGGAGTTACTCTCTAATGTTTAGAGAATGAAGCACATGCAAGATTATTCATGTAACCTGTTGTAATAACAAAAATTGGAAAAACCTATATGCCTATCACTAAGAGATTAATTATAGAGCTTCCTGAGGGTCATTGAAACATTGCAGCTGTAACAAAGAATCTGATTATGTACTGGTGGAACAACCTTTCAGAATACTATATCAAAGTTAAAAAGATATAGTACAGTATGTATAGTGTGGAGTTATAGAAAAGAAAAAAACAATGCTTTATATTTGTCTGTGTGTGTGTGCGTAGACTGTGTTTGGAAATATATTCTATGAAACTGGTAACACTTGGGTGGTAAACTGAATGTGTAGGGGACAGTGGTGAAAAGGAAGGTCTCCTTTTTGATGTACCTTTTGAACCTTCAATTTTTGAACTATGTTACCTAGAACACTTTATCATAATTAGTAATTTATTTTATGGACCTTCTGAAAAAATTATATAAATACTATTGTATTATTATTATATAAATATAACTATTGTAATAGTTATTATATGACTTTTATCCAAACTTGTTAAAAACAGATGATGAAAGAGGATAAATAGCATCAGCTGTATATATATTCATTTTTTAATCTTAATTTCTTATTTTGATATGTAGGTGGCTATATTTATCCACCATATTATACCCTTCATCTACTAGAATCCTTGGGACATGAAATAGGTGCTTGATAGTTTATTGAGTGAATGAATTACTGGGAAAACAACATAGCTTGGGGGGATGCATTGTGTTAGGTCTTGAACACTTATGACTTTAAATCCTGAAATCTGTAACCTGTATTTTTAATATTTTTCTTTAGGAGCAAAGACTCTGGAGAGTGTTGTGCTTAGTAAAATGAATTTTGAGTCTTTTGTAAAAGATCTTCTTCTAGTTCGTCAGTACAGAGTTGAAGTTTATAAGAACAGAGCTGGAAATAAGGCCTCCAAGGAGAATGATTGGTATTTGGCATTTAAGGTAATTATCTTCCTTTTAAATTTAGTTGTGTTTTTAAGAATAGAAGAAAGAAAAATGCAAGAGAATTCTGTGTTGCTTTAATATTTTAGCCAAGTTGTGCTAGTAAAATCCTTTGAGAGACTTTAATATTCTTTAGCATGTGGTTTTTAAAATCACAGTTTAATAGCAATTCAGAAATTCAGTAAATCCTTATGAGTATGAGTACTCTGAGCTTTGTCACTATCACTGAAACCCAAGTAATTAATAGCTTTTACGTAAAGATGAATGCCAGCATTAGAGAAAATTTGATTTTTACTGTTTTTGAAGTAATATCACACAAATTAACATGTACTGGGAAACTCATTTATACACATTTGTAATGTATTCGGCTCTTTGTGTATTCCTTTCTCTTTCATTAGACTGTAATTTTTTTAAAGTCTGGAACTTTGTTTAATGCTGATCATATTCCTGGGTGTGTCTGGAAGGGCTTGTTGATGTGCTTCTAATGCCTTCATAGAGGTGATTGTGCTAGCTTGTTTTATTTAAGGACTGTATTTTTAGTCTGTAAAGTCATGTTTTTGTTCACACACAATACATTCTCTCGTAGCTCAGTCAGTAAAGAATCTGCCTGCAATGCAGGAGACCCTGGTTCAATTCCTGGATCAGGAAGATCCCCTGGAGAAGGAAATGGCAACCCACTCCAGTATTCTTGCCTGGAGAATTTTATGGACAGAGAAGGCTTGCAGGCTACCGTCCATGAGGTTGCAAGAGTCGGACACAATTTAGAGACTAAACCAGTACATGCACATAAATACTGGACAAAGGTTAAAATGTTGGGGAATTGAGATTTATCCTTGCAAGGGAATAAATGTCATAAGTCGGGGGACAATGCTCTGGGCTTGTAGTTGGCGCATCTCATTTCTTTTCTCGTCTGTCCCTCTGGGTGATCTTAGCAAATTTCCCAGCGTTCTCCTGTATCTGTTTCTTTATAAATGTAAAATGAGAAGGTTTTCAAGATGTTTTCTGACCTGAAAGGCCTATGAAAGTTTTTGTGTGTGCAATATTTAAACATGTGATGTTGGTGCTGCCCCAAGTATAATATTCTTCAATATCCCTTCCATGTTGCCTTCCACCACTGTCTCCCTGTGCCCCCCACCCCCCTTTGAAAATGTAGACATTTCCTGAAGATTACGTCTGAGAGAATACGGAATTTCTTGAGAATTTTCAATGATACTTTACTGAGAAAAGTGGGACTGAGAGTATTATCCCCAGTGGCTCAGCAGTAAAGAATCTGCCTGCCAATGTGGGAGAATCGGTTTGATCCCTGGGTCAGGAGGATCCCCTGGAGGAGGAAATTGCAACCTACTCCAGTATTCTTGCCTGGAGAATCCCATGGATGAGGAGCCTGGTGGGCTGCAGTCCATAGTGTCAGCAAGACTTGAACATGACTGAGCATGAGTGCGCACACACACATTGTGATGGCGTTTCCTCAGGATTTTCATTGCTACTTTACTGAGAAAAGTGGGACTTACAGTATTATCCTACATCTTGAAAGATTTTAATAGAAAATTGAGGATACCAAAACAAGATGTTTTTCTATCTCACTCTTCACAGAGCTCCAAAATGTGGAATTGTGGAATCATGAATTTAGGTGGTTAACTGTTTTATCAGCTCATCACACCTCACTCCTTTGTGTCATCAGAATCCTTTTAGATGAATTGTTTTTAACTCCTAGCTTTTAGTTGGGGGGGGGGTTGGGGGGAACATTAAGTATGTATCTTGATGAGGTTAAAACGTAGTATCTTCATTCTGACATTTTATGAAGTTCAGATATACAAGCTGCTAAAGTTGATATATCTTAATTTTTAGCTTATTGATTCTGTTGTAAAGTATTAGTGATATTTAGGGTAGTTGACTTCTATGACTTCTTTTTTTTAACTTTTGGCTACACCATGCGTGATCTTACTTCCCTGACTAGGGATCAGACCGGTGTCAGCCACAGTGGAGGCTTGGAGTCTTCACCACCGGACCATCAGGGAAGTCCCTGTGAATGACTTTTTTCTCCCGTGTTCTCAGTAGTGTGTTCAGAGCAGGAAGGCACCTTAGTACCATCTAGTTCAGGGATTACCAGTCTTACAATTTTCAAGGACTGTCAAAAACTGAATTTTATTAGCTACTAGTTCACTTTGGAAGGTTTTTTAAAGATATGCTTCATACCTGTGTGTGTAAATCTGAAGCATGTATGTGAAAATATGATGTTTATGTTTGTGAGTGAATCACTGCTTTTTATTTTTTTATATTTTTTTTTCCACTTATTTTTATTAGTTGGAGGCTAATTACTTTACATCATTGCAGTGGTTTTTGTCATACATTGAAATGAATTAGCCATGGATTTACATGTATTCCCCATCCCGGTCCCCCCTCCCACCTCCCTCTCCACCCGATCCCTCTGGGTCTTCCCAGTGCACCAGGCCCGAGCACTTGTCTCATGCACCCAACCTGGGCTGGTGATCTGTTTCGCCCTAGAACATTTTCTTTTTTTTGGGCTGAGCTATGAGGCATTCAGGATCCCTGGCTAGGGATTGAACTCAAGCCCCCTATGGTGGAAGCTCAGAGTCTTAACCACTTGACTTCTGGGGAAGTCCCTCCATTTCATTTTTGATGCAGATTTTAATCAGTTTATGCAGAGTTACAGTATATTGAGAACCATATTGTGAAAAGATACTGTTATGATGCTAAAGACATCCAGGAACTATTGATGGCTACTGGTTGCCTCACTTTGGCTGTGACTGCTCCTTTGTACTATTTCTGACTATGTCAGTTTTCATACCGTGGTCCGTCAGTTGCCCCAGAAATGCCTTGTGTTAACAGGCAGCTGTCAGCTTCTGATCCTGTTGAACTGCTGTAGCCCACCGACTTCACACAAGTAGAACCAAAAGCAAAGAAACTTAACCCTTTAGCTACCTTGTATATGCTTAAAGAGATTTCTAATCTTTTTGAAATATTGAAAAATAGGTCAAGGACCCTTTATTTGGAAATTGTTGATCTAGAACAATCTATGTTTTACAAATATTGATATAGAGAGATGACTATCCAAGGTTAATATTTAAGCTAATAATGTGATATGTGATATAACTACTCAGTGAAAATTGTAATACATGCAGTCAATAGGTAGTTTGGCAGAGTGTAGAAATGTAAGCATACCATTGAGAGGGTTATCTCTTTGGGTTCCTTGATGAATGAGTGAGTATAAACCTAGCTGCCACATTTCAAACTGAAAATCACTTTTTTTGAAAATCACCTTTGATACTGCTGTTTTTAGATGTGCCCAAGTGTTTTTATGGAAAATTAGGGAGGATACTTTATAGAAAATATGGTAATATTAATTGGAATACATGGTTATAAGTAATTGTTTGGTAAGAAAATGTTTTGTTAATAAAATTCATCTAAGTTGGGTAATTTTTGTTTGCTAGTGAAATATTAAAGTACATTGAACAGTTTCTTAAAATTTCTCTTTACTTTTGCTTAGGCCTCTCCAGGTAATCTTTCTCAGTTTGAAGATATTCTCTTTGGTAACAACGATGTGTCCGCTTCCATTGGTGTTGTGGGTGTTAAAATGTCTACAGTCGATGGTCAAAGACAGGTCGGAGTTGGGTATGTTGACTCCACACAGAGGAAGCTAGGACTGTGTGAGTTCCCCGATAATGATCAGTTCTCCAATCTGGAGGCTCTCCTGATTCAGATTGGACCAAAGGAGTGTGTTATGCCAGGAGGGGAGACTGCTGGAGACGTGGGAAAACTGAGGCAGGTAAGGGAATGGAGTCCATGATAGAGAATCCAAGGCTAGGAATGCCTCTAAAGTAACATGATACTATTTTAAGAAAAATTTTAAAAGTCAGAACCATTTCAATGGATTTTGACAGAAACTTTGTATCTTTATTAGGACTTTCCATCTCTTCCTTGTTTAAGACTTGTTCTCCCTCAGATCATTTCCCCCTGCCCGCTTCCTCTCCTTCTGAACTGAATGTCATCTTAAAGGGATCACAGTTGATGAAAAGAAGTGCTTTCACAGTTGAGGGATGCAGGGTGGGGAAGAAGTGATGTAGGGCCTTTAAAAATAAAAAAACTATGCCCGTATTTAGCATGGATGTAACAAATAAGATCCAGTTCTTCAGGATTATTATTTTTTTTAAATAGATTGAGTAGAACTTTAGCCTCTTTTATTTTTCTGATTCTTTTATTTTAACAAAGTTCTGATTTTGTTGTTTGTATAGGTATCTGGTTTATTATTTTAGATTTTTAAGGATTCTTTTCTTCCTATGAGCCGCAAATACAATAAGAACTAGTTGAGAGTTAGCAAATCTGTGATGGGCATTTTTAGCGTAGTATGTAGGCAACTTTCCCCAAGTATTATTCTCTTAGTTTTTACCTCTGAGACTGTTTTTTGAAAGCTTCATGTAAGCCTAATTTTAAATTTCCACAAAAATTTTATTTATCGATTTTTAAAATACATGTTAATACATATTACCAATGTTTTATTGCATGTATTGTTGTGTGACAATATAATGTGGGTTAATATGCTGTTTGTTAAAATGTTGTTACTTTATATTTGTCAGTGGCACAACTTTCTGTATTGCTTTTCTCCTAGTAATTTAAAATATTTCCTGTAAAATAGGTTATTCAGAGAGGAGGAATTTTGATCACAGAAAGAAAAAGAGCTGACTTTTCCACAAAAGATATTTATCAGGACCTCAACCGGTTGTTGAAAGGCAAAAAGGGAGAACAAATGAATAGTGCTGTGTTGCCAGAAATGGAGAACCAGGTATGTGGATTACAAATGTGAATTTACCCCTAAATAGTGACATTTTAGAAGGCTGCTTCTGTCATCTATATCTCAAAGCCTAAAATGGATCACTGATTTTTAAGCTTATTTTAATCTGTGATGAAGTTTGTGAAAATGACTAGAAAAGGAATGACTAGAAAAATTCAAACATAATCTTAAATTTAACTTCATTATATTTACACAACATATATCCTTGGGGTGAGGAAGAGATTATTGTTTTACTGGTTTCACCAGAAAGAGCCTGATTACGGTCAGCTTAGTAGATGAGGTAGCATAGTTGGTACTATTAAAGTTTTATAATATAGGAGCTGTGAAGTTTTTAATAAATTACTTCAGCTTCATTATGTCTTAAAGGATTGTTGTGGAGATTAAAAAGTAGTAAGTATGGAAATATACACAGTGCATAATAATTGCAAAATAAATGCTACATTTAAGCAGTTTGGCTCAAAAATTGGCACTGATTGTGTTCAGTGTTAGACATGAATATGCAAACAATGGTTGAAATTTATTTTCAGTTTTTCAAATCTTTGAAGAAAGTATGGTTTGGGAGTTATATTTTTATGTAAAATATTAGAAACCTCTTTGAATGGTTATTTGTGGATCACTGACAAGTAAAATAAAAATTTGTATATTTAAATAAGTATAAGTTATAACTACTTATAATTTTCAAAATTGACTTCAAACTAGAATAAACTGAGACTGTTATTACCGTCATGATTTTCCAGAGATTACTTAGCACATAATCGTTTGATCCTTATCAACTAAGTTTATCTGTTTTACTTTCTTCGTGTGACAGAATGAAAAGCCATTGTGGATGTGTAATAATCCCAGTACAGACATTCCCTGACTTACGGTTCAACTAGTGATTTTTTTTAACTTTACAATGGTGCAAAAGTGATATTTATTCAGTAGAAACTATACTCTGAATTTTGACCTTTTCCTGGACTAGCAAAAAACTGTGGTGCAGTTTTCTGGTGATGCTGGGCAGCAGCGGCAGCTCTCAGTCAGCCGTGGGACCACAAGGGTTTAGTAGCCAGTGCACTTAAACCACGCTGTACCTGTAGAGCCATTCTGGTTTCTGCTTTCAGTAGTGTTCAATAAATTTTGACCTATTAAACTGTATTATAAAGTTGGCTTTGTGTTAGATGAGTTTGTCCAACTATAGGCTAATGTGTTCTGAGCACATTTAAGGCAGATGAAGCTAAGCTATGATGTTCAGTAGGTTAACTGTATTAAATGCATTTTCCATTTATGATAGGCTTATTGGCATGTAACCTCGTAAGTCAAGGAAAAGCTATATTAGAGAAAATTACTTCAGTGTTGAAAATTGGAAGACGCTTCCAGGGCTACTGAGGGCTTCCCAGGTGGCTCAGTGGTAAAGAATCCATTTGCCAATGCAGGAGACTCAGGTTTGATCCCTGAGTTGGGAAGAGCCCCTGGAAGAGGAAAGGGCAACCCACTCCAGTATTCTTCCCAGGATAATCCCATGGCCAGAGGAGCCTCGTGCGCTACAGTCCGTGGGGTTGCAGAGTCAGACATGACTAAGTGACTGAGCAAGCACACAAGCCTCTTCGGGATACTAAAAATTGTCAGCATCTGTCCCTCGTGGTAACATAGCAGGAGATTCATATATATTTGGCAAAGGCAGATAGATAACTGTGTTATCAATTAGGAAACATGCACATTCACAATGAGTTTGGTGCCAAGTATAAGTAGAATTTTCATTGGGCTATCAGTTTAATGTCCTTAGCTTTTTTTGTGTTATTATAGTAGTAAAATAGGCAGTTATTTCTTATTTAAATATGCTTACAAGGATGTATATATATCATAAGTGTATAGCTAAATTTTTATGAATTGTAAGTACCCACATAACCAGCACCCGTGAAACAGAATAGTACCGGGATCATAAGACCCTTTTTATGTTTTCTTCCAGTTGTTAACCTCCATTAGTACCTCTGACAGTATGAATTAGTTTGATCTATTTTTGTAGTTTATATAAATGGACTCATAAAGATCATGCTCTTGTGATTTCCTTTTTTCAGTATTATGTTTGTGTGATAATCGTATTGTCATGTGTTTTGGTGGATTGTTTGTGCTTATATCTAATTGTTGTATGTAGTATTCCGCAGTATGAACGTGCCAGGCTTTACCCTTTTTACTCTTGGTGGACAATAGCGTAATTTCTCCTTTTGGCTATTATAGTGTTGCTATTACAGTAAATTTTCACTTCCTAAAAATCATTTTCTAGTCTTAAAAAGGTTTATTTAAACTTTGATTTTCTTGGTTTGAATTGGGAAAAAATACCAGGAGAAATGAGTGTTTGAAATTTATTTTCATATTACCATTTGTTTTTTTAAAAAAATCTCTAGAATTCTAGTGATAGCCATCTTTTGTTTTATATTCTTAATCTTAGGTTGCAGTTTCATCCTTGTCTGCAGTAATCAAATTTTTAGAACTCTTATCAGATGACTCAAACTTTGGACAGTTTGAACTGACTACTTTTGACTTCAGCCAGTACATGAAATTGGATATTGCAGCAGTGAGAGCCCTTAACCTTTTCCAGGTAAAAAAAAATACATCAGTTTAAAATATTTCCTTTTATATATAGAATATAAGACTTAATAAGGAGCTTAAATATTTTAAAATATTACACTTAAATAGTTTTGAATTACTATATTTTTCTAATTGCAAACTGTATAAATATAATTTGTCCTGACTTTATGAATAAATTGTGTATTAACAACAGTTTTTAAAAATTATAATTTAAGAAGTTTTATGTCTAAAACTGCAATAATTACAAAGTGGTGGCCTTTTGGGGAACAGCATACAGCAGAAAATCAGATTAATACATTAAAAGTCTGATTTTCAGATAAGGAGCTTTTGTGTACATTTCAATTTAATATTTGAAGAAAGTTAAGTTTTGCGTTGTTGTCACAAGTTTGGAGATTGAACGGGTTGGTTATTTTTTTTTTCCCATGAGTCTTGTGGGGTTTTAATTCCCCAAGCAAGGATTGAACCCAGGCCTTTGGCAGTGAAAGCTTAGACTCCTAACCACTGGATACCAGGGAGTATCCATTGTTAAGTGTTCTTGTTCCCAAAATTAAGTAATCCTTTTTCATGGCATAGTAAGGTCATTAATGAGCCTGCCACTTCCCTATTTTATTTCTGTTTACTAGGGTTCTGTTGAAGATACTTCTGGCTCTCAGTCTCTGGCTGCATTGCTGAATAAATGCAAAACCCCTCAAGGACAAAGACTGGTTAACCAGTGGATTAAGCAGCCTCTTATGGACAAGAACAGAATAGAAGAGAGGTATATTTTTAAAAAAGTGTGCACTTTTGTAAACTCTTAAGTAACTTCCAGTCACTCCATATGCTTATACCACTTATTACAGCATGCAATTTTGCATCTATATTTTAGCATCTAACTGCACAGAAAGTTAATAAAGTAGTAGAGTAGTGGTGATTTAGATTAACTTATTTTCTTAATTATGTTTTTTTACCCTTCACTATAAAAAGGTGAACTTTTATTAGAGAGGTGGTGTAGGTATAAGGTTTCAGAGCATTTGAGCTTTGGAGCTAGTTTACCTTGGTTCATATTGAGCTCTTCCACTTAGGTGCTGTGTTGTATTGGGTATTATTGAACCTCTGGGTGGCAGTTTCTTCCCTTTCAAAATGACAGTAATAACACACCTCCTTAGGGTTGCTATGAGGATTAGATGATTTAATGTATTTAAAGTACTTTGAATAAGGTCTGGCACAAAGGAAGTACTTACTCTTTATTATTCTAGAAAAAATTTAAGGCAGCCTAAACATATTTCAGAACATCTTTAAAATTGAGGAAATAAAAGAAAAAGCTGTATAATGCTGCTGCATATAATGTGAGTAGCATTGAAGTATGTTTTATTTTTATCTTTTATTTTAGACATAAGTTTTAAAACTTAAATGAAGTGTAATACACATAAAAGCGCAAATCCTAAAGGTGCAGTTTGATGGATTTTCACAAAGTAAATACCTTGGTAACAGCACATAAGTCAGGAAACAACATAACTAGCATCCTCAAAACTCTTCTCAGTTATAGTTACTGCCTCTCCTCACTTCAAGGGTAATAACTGTCCTTCTAGCCTCATAGATTAATTAGTTTTACCTGTTTTTGAACTGCATATAAGTAAAATACTTTTCTATAGTTCACTCTTAATGTTTGATAGTTTTTTAAAAACATAGTTATAATCCTATTATAGTTTTGTGTTCTGGTTTTTTCCCACTTATGTTTATATTATCATAAGCATTTTTTAGGGTTGCTGTTTTATGTTCATATTCAGCATTTTTAATAAATTCATAATATTTTATTGACTGGATATACTTTACCCTTTTCAATAGTTAGGTTATTTCAGTGACCTTATTGTATACCTAACATTTCCAGTTTGGTAAATTAAGATATATTGCCAGAATAGGTAAAAGTCAATATTTTTATGGATTTGATGTTGTCAAATTGTTCAAGAATTGTTGAATACCTACTGAATTCTGATGGTATACAAAAAGCATGATGATCCCTTTGGGACTATATATATGCCAGGCAAACATAAAATAGTTGATCAGTATCATAAGACACCCTGCAGATAATTACCAAGCTAAGCATTGATCCTGTGGATTCTAAAGGGTCTTACAATAAAAACAACTCATGAAGTCAGCAAACTATGGGTATGTTGATATATCATTAAGAATATGGAAGTTGAAATGCTAAGGTAACTTCCTGAAGCCAGGTTTGTTGGAGAAAATGAGTGGGATTTAGTAACAAAATGAGAAATAGGAAGGATTGGATATTTGCAAGTAATTAAGGCAGTTTACAGGTTTTTATTTTAATTATTTGTGACCAACTACGTTTACATAAGTCAGATGTCAAACAGAACAGGATAACAGTGCTGAGTTTCTTGCTCTCATCTCCCGGTTTCCCAGGACTCTTCCTCAGGGCCTCTGCACAGCAGCGGGGGCACATTTCTTATTGTGCTCTGTGTGAATCTTGCCCTGGGAGCAACTGGTCTTAATCAGATTCTTGAGTTGCCTTCCATGGAAAGTCTTTGCCTGCACAAGTAGAAGTTTATATCCATTCTCCCTCATCTTTTTGTTGTTTCTTAAAAGGAATGATAGGTAATTTAATTCTCATACTCTCGGTCGTTGGTTGGGATTGTAGGAACAGAGCACATGTCAGTGGTCCTCTTCTGTTTTAACAGAGCGTGCATGTATTGGACCCTTCAAAAACCTGAGACATCACTTACTGTTAGCAGAATAGCAAGTTATTTAGAAAGCAAGATACCAATTAATTTTTTGGCTATAATTAAAGGTTATTTTCATAGGACATAGCAATAATTTCCAAAATCTGATAAACTTACAAGACTGACTAATTGGGAATACGATTTGCGAGAATGGCTTTCTGAGTCAGATCATGATCTGCTTTTCTGCACCTGTAGGATGAGGAAATATTTTCTCCTTTCTATCTTGGGGAGAATTTTTTTTTAACCAGCAATTAGGAAGGTCTGTGGTTTTCAAGGCCCAGTGCTGAAATTCCACAGAGCAGGAAGACAAAGTTACACTCCTTAAGGCAGACTTCTGTTGGGCTGTTCAGACAGTCTCCTTTTTTTTAAATACCCTTTCTCAGTTCCACCTGCTGTGATACATCATGCTTCTAGTTTATGCCTTGCTGGGGTTCTCATTGTCTTCTTCTGTAAGCATTTAAGATTAAGAGGGATTATTTTTCAGAGCTGCATATCGAATCAAGCTTTTGTTCTTCCTGTCACTGTTTTGCGGTGATTTTCTAGCAGAGAGGTAGTGGAAATCTCAACTCCACCCTTTTAAAACTAAGTGAGGAGTTAAAGTGTGTGACTGTGCAGGGAATTCTGTTAAGGAAAGCAAAGATTTCTCTGTTTTCTATTTTTACTAGAGCGGACAGAGGAACAGTTGTGACTAGATCTTTGAGTTTGATGGATACATCTATTCCGGAGGTATAGCCTAGTGATAGTTCAGGAATAATAATGAAGATAGGATTGCTTTTAAGTCATTGTCAGGCTCTTAGGAGGAAAAGACTGGTTGCCTGGCACTTTGCTAAGTATCTCACATTCATTAGCTGAGAGGTAGTGGAGACTGGCTGCTGTCTGGCCTGACTCCAGAGCCCATGCCTTTCATCTTTGTACTGTATTTCTTGCTTCTATCAGTTGTGTTTAATTTGATCCAAGTTGAATTTTAACATCAGAAATGAAATGTACTATTTTGGCTTTTAAGTTATACCTGTGAAATCGCTTTATGTGTGGTAATGCTCATTTTTCCATTCATTAAAACCTGTTTGCACTGGCAATACTTTATAGCTAGCTAATGGCTTAAGTACTTTAATCTCCAGTGAGAATTGATAGTTACTACCTTTAAGAAGTGAGTTTCTGGGTATTTCTTCCTTTTGTGTTTTACCTAACAGTCAAATTAGGAATTATAACAAGAATGCTGTCCATATTACTATTAAGAATCCTCAGATTTGCACATGGCACTAGGACTGTTACCATTAGTTTTAATTTTTTAGGACTTTTTTTGCTTTTTGTCTTTCCACAGATTTATGTGCAGCCTTAATGAATGATCCTTTGTTGTTGTTGTTGTTGTTGTTAGACTTTAAAGAACATTGAATATATGTTAGCATATGACATAGTTCACTCATGAAGTTGCTGATGATACCATTTGCACATGTTGAATTTGGTATTCTTATTGCTTTCTAGTTTAACATTATTTTTATATGACATTTAATAGTAGTTTTATTTGAAATATGTCTCCAAGTAAAAGTAGTTCCTATAAATGTAGAAATAGTAGTGGTGCTTATGTGATAGTATATCATGCTTCTTGAGGCAGTGTACTTCCGGGGTTATATTCAGACTTAGACCTACGTTTCTTTCCAGGTTATGTTAAGTATTCTTTTGTGCAAGGATGTCTTTAGTTAGTAGTGAGTGTTCTGCGGAAACAGAGGTCTGGAGGTCATACAGTGAGTTCAGTTTCTTTAAAACAGCAAGGCTTTGCTCTGGCCTCAGAGGACAAACAGGAGGATTGTCACTCCATTGCTTTTCCCACCATTGTTTTCTCTGCTTCCAAATCAAGTTTAGTGAAACCCCTTATTCTGGTTTCTGGACTGATCTGCTAGTCCCTTTGAATTTTGTTTGCCTTCCTATCCAGTCTGTACCACAAAGGCAACCCTTTTTCCAGTGCTTTCATGGGGGACATAGAATTTCTTGTCCCGTTAGCACTTTGTCAGACTGCCCCCTCTTTCTCTATTAAAACTTGCTGGAGAGGTCACACAATGCAGATTGGATCCACTGTACTTTTCAAGCCATCTAGCTTTCACTGCTACCTGGTGTTACTTTTGTTACATGACTTATTACAATGACCAGTGCAGCATTTTGCATTTTCCATTCAGCTTCTCCTACACTTAAACAGATGATCTCCTCCTTGATTCTTACAGTCTCAAAATGTATCTATATTTTCAGTTTTCTATTTCCTGGTTCTGTCTCACAAGAGGAAGTAGTACTCTTTCCTTTCCAAAGGCGACATTTCCATTTTGCTTCTGGTTACAGTTTTTTTTTTTTTTTTCTATTCTCTCCTTCAGTTTTCTTCTATTGTGTCCTATATTCTTCTCCTGTCAAGTCTCTGCTGTTGCTGTTCCACCATTCCTTCCCAAGTGTTTTCCTCAAAATCCCATCTCTTTAAATCCCAACTGTTCAGAATATTGGAAAAGATTTAAGGCAAAAGGAGAAGGGGCAGCAGAGGATGAGATAAGATAGCTTCAGTGCCTCGGTGGACATGAGTTTGGGCAAACTCTGGGAGATAGTGGAGGTCAGAATGTGGTTCCCCAGCTCCCATGGAGTTCTCTGCTTTTTTGTTGCATTTTATATTTCATTTGTTATTCAGCACTAATTGTAAGAATAGACATGTCCTTCTTCACTAGATTGAATGTTCTTTGAAAGCATATTCCTCTCTTATACGTTTGGCCTCTTTTTTTTTCTTTTTTAATTTTCTTAACCCTACCTCGCAGATTATCTATTTAATGTATCAGATGAGTGGTGCTGTCTGCCTTAAACCATGTGAAGAACAGATAAAGAAGGGACTCAAAATCTTGTAGTTCTTTAGGTACCAAATTTATTCTCAGCCATATAAATATACTGTTGTGAAATTCCAACCAGTTATTCTTACAGTGAGATTAGAAATAGTGGTTTTAAAGAATGGAAAGAATAGTGAATTTAAAATATCACAAATTTCACAACTAATTTTATAATTTATTCTTTTGAA